TTCAACGTTTATTTATTTGTGGGACAGAGAGAAACAGAGCATGAACAGGGGAGGGGCAGAGAGAGAGGGAGACACAGAATGGGAAACAGGCTCCAGGCTCTGAGCCATCAGCCCAGAGCCCGACGCGGGGCTCGAACTCCCGGACCGCGAGATCGTGACCTGGCTGAAGTCGGACGCTTAACCGACTGCGCCACCCAGGCGCCCCTCCACCAGATTCTTTTAAGCGATTCCAGTTCCTCTCAATTTCGTAAAGCAGAAAGGAGGGGGTGCTGCTTAATTGCAAATAGTTTACTTTCTGTATAAACAACTACTCGATTTGGTTTTTGTGGGGATGCAGGTAGATACGTTAGTGGGTCCTTACGAATAATATTTGTTTCCAGTAGTGAAAAAGTAGCGTTACTAATCATTCACTAAAAATTCTGAAATAACATTATATTATATTACATATATGATATTTTCATGTTTATTTTGTAACCTAAGTTATTTGCAAGATTTTAATTAGAATTTCAATCTCATTCTAATGTGTACATATGAATCACTTTAAAACCAGAAAATACTGGGGCACCTGGGAGGCTCAGTCCGTGGAGGGTCCAACTCTTGATCTAAGCTCAGGTCATGATCTCACGGTCGTGGGTTCTAGCCCCATTTCGGGCTCCGTGCAGGGCTTGGAGCCTGCTAGTTAATTAATAAATAAAAATAAAATAAAATACGAATAAAATCAATTCTCCCTATAGAAAACAGGATTTATGTTTCGCCTCATGAGGTTATGTTATTGTTTATGTTTATGTGTTAGTGAAAAAGTTGGATTTCAGAGTCCACGGAACCCTTGTGGGTGTCGGCACAGCCCTCTGTGGTGCTCCTGGGTCACCCGCTGCTGCCCACACCCCACACCCCACACCCCGCGTCCGCGGCAGCATTGGCAATATGAATCAATAGCTCCTTCAGGCGCTTGGATTTAATCAGGCCCATGAATAAATTAAATTCCCTGAAGACCTAGTAAAATGCCATAAAAATTACTTTTGGTCATAATGATGTGCCATTAATTATAAAATACTTGTTTAATTTATTTAGCTTTATGAGGTCAAATCAATAAATGTCTTGCAACAGACAGATAATGTCAGATTGTTTTCCACAAAGATAACTTTATTAAAAATCCTTTGTGCATTCAGTGCTCAACTTGACATTCCCTTCCTTTAGATAAATGTTTTGGTCCTCCACCCATGTCTTTGCAGTAATGCTCTTATAGTCTGACGGCCTTTACTTTATTTACAACAAAAACCAAAAAACACACAGGTTGGGAGAGCCTGAGCATCGCTCCCCACGTTGGATTCTTGGCTGTAAACTTGTATTCTCCGCTTATTAAACAAAAGAAAAACAAGGCACCAACACTCTTTACTCACCACGTAACAGAAAGAGCCAATTTTGTCAGACCCGTGACGTCAGATTGTGCAGTGCGCACAGACCTAGAACAACCGTGCCCTGGACAGCGAAAGTGCTCGGGCACTTGGCCTCCTGCCCTCCACGCGCAGACGTGGAGCGAGGGTCAGAACTGGGGATCGGGGAAGGCGTGAATGAAGGGGTGCGGTGACCAGTGCCCTGCCGTCCCCAGAAGATGTGTGAGGCGGGGGCGTGGGAGCTGTGCCCACAGTCCGCTTCTCCGTGAGCATCAGACCTACTCAAGCGGCCAGATTAGAAAGGATTTCAGAAAGTCTGAATGGTTCATACTCCGCGTTTGCAGACTTGAGCATCTCAGCAGCAGTCTGGCAGGTGAGCTTTGTGAGACGTGAGCGCCCCACCCAGAGAGCGAGCGAGCGAGAACTGCAGTTATCTGGAAGCGCCAGCCTGTGCCCTGAAGGGACAGCGGAGGCTGAGGTCTGTGCGCACGGCCGGGCAGGGCAGAGCGCGCGTGCAGAGTCGCGTCTGGACTGTTGATCAGTGAGTGCGGGCACTTGTCCCTAGTGATGTGGGGTTTCCACTCACGGAAGGTCACACACTCCCAAGTCATGGCTCCCTCAGCGGCCGTAACTGCCCGTCTGCGTGGCTTTGTGGCTGCACGCAGGGCTGGCGTCCGGGCTTTGGCACACACGCCAGGACGTCCCGAGCAGGGTCGCGGGGAGCTGTCGGTGTGCGGTCCCAGCGTTGGATACCCAAGCTTACTAGTACCCGAGTTTCTTTATGAACCAAAAAGCAGCTGATTCATTTTCTGGGATGCATTCGCCGAAATGCGTGACTACGGTGTCTGTTCTCATTTGCAAGTACACGTTGTGCACGTCGGGGATTCTGTCTGTGGCTGTTGTATGGCTGAAGTGTGGAGCCCTGCACCCCTCGGGCTTTGCTGTGGACACTTGAAGAGACCTGCCCGTCTCTGCGTGGCCCGGCAGCGAGCGAGCGGTCGCACACCCAGGCGCCACCTCTGCCGGGCCCCGGCCCACCGCACCTGCCCCACGAGGCTGTCCGTGCGGTCCGGGAGCCCCTGCTGGGGCCGGGAAACACTCCAGAGCAGGGTGAGCACGTGGCCCTGTGCCGTGTCGACCACGAGTGCCGGAAACAGGCTAAACATGCTGCAGGTTAAGCTTTAGAAAGATGCTCGGCCTTCGAAACAGTTCCTCAAAGTTCGAAACTTGAGAGCGTCAGCAAGAAAGAGGTGAAAGGTTGTCAAGCAGCAGGCCTTCGGAAGCCTGTGGCTGGTGGTAGTGTTCTTGATGTGTAGACAGCGTGGCCGCAGAGAACGGTACAGCTTAGCGCTCAGGTTGTTTTTTACATTTCGTTTGCATCAACACACATCACTCCGAGGCGCTGCTGTTGACGCCCGAGCTTGGGCCTCTTGGGCGCGTGGGCCTCAGACTTCCCGTGCGTCTGTCCCAGCGGCCAAGGAGCCGGTGCCCCACTTGGCAGCGGCCTCCACGTCTTCTCCCGGACGCTCTTCCTCTCCCTGCTCCCCCTGCTGTCCACGCGGGGACCCCCTGGCGCCCACGTGCGCGCCAGGGACACTGCCCGGTTTTGCTCGGCTCAGAGTCCGAGGGCAGTGACCGGCGGGGGCCCCTCTCCCGCCTCCCACCCTGCCTGGTCCTCCAGGGGTGGGGCCTCTATTTGGGGCGAGACAGCTGCTCGCCCCACAGGCCGCCCCCTCCCTGCAGACCGTGGTCCCACCTTTCCAGGCAGCGTTTTGAGGATGTCAGTCGGTCTCCACGCCCCGTGGCAGCTTCACGGCCTGAGGGAGGGACGCGCGGTCACAGAAGGAAGCGGCACCCGCTCTGGGGGTCCACGGCCGGGAAAGCGGCGTGGGCTCCTGCTCCGCCAGCGTGGCTGTGTGCGCGACCTCGGGCGTGGCTCCTCGGTGCCGGCTGGTGTGCACGGGCCGTGTCCCAGCTCCGGGCCCCGTCCCCCGGAGGAGCGCCAGGCGCGCCTCTGCAGGTACCGGATCCGTTTCCAGCAGTGGGATTTGTGTCGATGGCATGTGCAGCTTACGGTGACAAGAGAGGCCCGTCACCAGCAGATAGGTGGGCGCGGATCAGGCTGTCCCTACACCTCGTCGTCAACTGAGGCTGCCCGGGTTTGCCTCCAACAGGAGAGGGTGTGTTTGGGTGGTCTCTGAGCAGGAGGACTGGACAGCTTCTCACACACCTGTTGAATGCTTTTCCGTCTCTCAACGGGAGCGGGGGCCTGTGGCATCTCTTCCGGCCCCTTTCCCTGCAGGTTGAGACTACGCCCCAGGGGCCTCGGGGTCTCCTCCCCACCCCACCCCACCCCCGGCACCAGCGGCCTCCTGAGACCACCCCTCC